GTAGGTCAGCCAGATTCAAACCCTGATTCTACCAATAGTGAGAGGCTCACTATACCTTCCTTCATCTACATCATTTCTTTCAAAATTAATAAATGAAAAAATAAATCATTTCTTTCAGTACAAGGAGAATAGTATTAGCCCTAACCCATAGGATCCAGAGCATTGAATACATTAAGAGCAGATCCAGTAACCGTGGGACATACAGTGTATGCAGCGTACAGAGGATCGTGTCAGATGCTAGTGAATATTTTGGATTTTCTTTTTAATCATTAAAAAGTAGCCCATAAGTCATGTTTCATACTGAATCCTCTCTGAATGGCAGTAGTGCACCTTGGAAAAAGAAAAAATACCCTGTGTGCCTTTGAAACATGGAAGTATCTGTCTGATGCCAGTTTTTATTGGGATCCTGTGGAATTGCTCACTCTTGTATCTGTGCCTTCCTTTCTGAAATGGCAGGAAGGCAAGTATGAGTGGTTTTATTCTCTATCATCTGAATGTAGCCAACTGTTTGGCATTCCTTCTAGAGGTATCCCATGGACCTCCGAAGCTTCTGGTATAAACCATGCATGATCATTTTGGATATAAACTTATTCTGTTTGAGCACAGAGGGCTAGACATCTGTCCGTGGACACATGTGGACTCCTGAGTGCCTCCAAAACCTATGCTGGGAACTCTGTGATCAGCCAGGGCCAGAGGTGATGCTGAACATGTGGCAGGACCGAAGGCCATTTTCTGTTGCTGGGCAGGACTATAGGCTGGGCTCTGTGGCTGCCCAGGTTCACTGATGAGTCTCCCTGCTCACGCAGAGCAAGAGGTTATGCTCAGTGCTTGATCCATGCTGCTGGGTTCATTTTCTCCCCAGAATCCCAGAAGTAAGAGAGGCTCCCCAGAAGTAAGAGAGGCTCTGAGGGTGTCTAGGGTCTTTCTTCAGGCTTCTAGTGGTACAGGAATGGAGGCTACCATCAGCCATGGGAAGTGACTTAGAACGTTCATAGCTGGCCAGTGGAATTAGTGTGATGAAGATGTTTATGATGTTTGCTATGTCATGAGCCATAAGGCACTTGAACTTTGACCTGGGAACCTCTTGTCTTCTGCCAGTATTGGAACACTGTTACAGACCAACGGGTTACAGTATAGAATGTGTGTCATCTTGGAATTTTTATATTTATTAAATTTATCCAGGGACTTTATTCAAAAC